GATTTTCAGTTATTGAAGCCAAAGCACGTTGAAGGTGTTATCATTTGCATCATTTTCGTTGTTATTCTGAACAGCGTCGTTACATTTACAATTATTAAACAATGTACCTACCTTTAGTTTCAAGTTTTGGAATATACGCGTAATAGTAGTTTGACTTGGAATTGACCTCTCTGGATATTTTACACTAAACAAAGCGGCAACTTGATGGGCACCATTTCCCGTGTAAAACCATTTCAATTTTCTCGGATAATAAAACATTTTTATTTTATTTAATACATTTTATAAACGAAGTTACTACACGAAATAATTAATGTGATGTCAAAAATAACAGAAGGGCCTACTTTTTGATTTTTAAAATTCCATATCACGGTTTATTGAAAAAGATGCGGTTTTTATTTTTCCAATTTTCCGTCTTTATTATGAAAAATGTGGAAAACTAATACGGTTGAATGGCGTAAAAATTTTTTTTTACAAAAAACCTTAATACCTTTTTGCTCTAAAATAATTTGGGGACATATTATGAATTTTACATTGAAATTCTTATGTTGCGTTACGCAAGTCACCACCCTGTATAGTCGTTTTATCTAGCTTATGTTTGGTAACATTGTTTTTTGTAGTGTAAGATACTTATTCAATTCAAGCACAAGCCGAAAACAGTTTAAGGAATTTCAGATTTATTTAAACATTTGCAGTGATTCTCTAACGGGGTGAGCACTCACCCCGAGTGGTATTAGGTAGATCGGATTTGGTCAAGTTTTCAAATATCTTTTGCTATGATTGCTTTCTGTAGATAACCAAATGTTAGGCACTTTTTGGAAATTTCGAGGGAAATTTTAATCGATACCCATTGTTTGTAAAAGTTCTTATGGGACTATTCACTATCATATGGGTCAATTAGTATCATTAGGCTTACAAAAATGTGGAAAGACATTGTGCAAGCTTTTGAAGGGATATAAATACAAGTACGCTATGTAAAAAATCTGTATAAAATGTTAAATTTAGTGTACCCACTTAATGTGTGGGTAACCACTGATTCTTCAATAATAGATTTTTTAAATTCGTGCTGCCTAAATGAGCTATACTGTATCAAATATTACCAACTAACAATAATCCGTTGAGATTTTCATTGTTTAAACAATTTATACATTTTTTAAACAATTTTTTACTAAAAAAAGAATAATTCTCAGAATTAATAAAAATAAATGGAACCTATAGATTAAAGACTAATTTGTACCCACAAAATTGCAATTTGTACCCGCTTGGTTCCGCTGGAAAACCGATTCTAAGGTGGGGGGTGTTGACTAGAAATCAAGTTAGCACCCCACTTTTTCCGATTGAAAGTATATTATAGTCGCATCAAAATCATTGAACATTGAAAGCATTGAACACTAATGTGTAGCCAAGTTAGATTTTCATTGTTTAAACAATTTATACATTATTTAAACATTTTTTTTCTAAAACAATTCTCAGAATTAGTAAAAAGAAATGCAACTTAGAACTAATTTGTATACTCATAGACAAAATTATATTGTTAGGAAGTCGTCTGAGTCTGAGGGCTAAATTAGTAACGATCCTAGAGATCGTTTATAATTTTGTATTGCTGTCTACCTGTATGTTCGTTTGTCTGTCTGTCCATGTGTACGAAAACAATAACTATTTAGAAACGCCCGATCGCTTTGAAAATTGCTAAACACGTTCTTAAGAATATAACAAAGGTCGCTATTCTTTTCAGCGACGTATACGATTGGGCCAAAAAGTTATTATAAAAATGATCGATGCGGGCCGGGCTACTGTTGTACAGGATGAGTCAACGATTGCGCGGAGTAACTTAATGCCTTGAAGATAAGATTTTTCTATAGAGTGCTTTTGTATCATGACCAAAATGGTACATTTTTTAAATAGAACCCCCTGTATTTGAATGCATTTTTGAATTTTACGTATAATTGTACGTCTTTTTAGCGCATTTTTTAAGAATTAAAAGAAATGTGGTATTGTTTGCGTTTTGTCCGTCCGTCCGGACCCACTTCTACCGTCTTGAACTACTTCTAGGGGATTAGTCCTAGAGTCCTGGAATTTTTTGCAGTAGGTAGCGTATACCTTGAAGGTGTGCCAGACGGCTATCAAATTTCGCTGTCTAAAAGGGGGGCTCCCCCACGAATTATTTCCTGAGAGGCTATTTTTGAAAGTAAAACGTGCATAACTTTTACATACGACAACCAATTGGTTTCAGATTTTGGCGATTTTGCATACGCATGCCCTTAGTGGTGCCGAGCTAAACTTTAGGAAATGGGGGGGGGGGGGGGCACATGTTCTACCCTTTATGGTATTCTAATGAAAGGTGTCATCGAAATAAATTGATTTGCACAAACTATAACTTTCTCGTGCGACTCTTTTTCGAGATCAGTGAGCGAGGGGGGAGGGGGTTAAAAATTAATGTTATCTCTCATTGTATTCTAATTAAAGTTCTTAACGAAAGGAACCGTTTTCTACCAACTACTGCCCTTCTTTCTGTCCTCTTATCAAAGTACGGAGCGGAGGGGGCAGTGGAACTAGTTTTATCCTTCATTGTACTCTAATGAAAGGTCTCAACGAAAGGAATTAATTTCTACCAACCATAGCCATCCTCCTAGACCTCTTATCGTGATCGAGTATATTCCCTTATACCTCAAGAACGTATTGCCGGCAGAGGGTATATTCACAAAGGGTGATTGAGACGTCTGCAAGAAATACACCCATTGGTGATGTCAAAACAAAAGCTATTTCGGTTAAAAAAAATGCGCTTTATCTGCACAAGAGTTGTGCACAATTTATATTTGTTTATTATATGGTTAATATCCGAAAAGCTAGTAGTTTTACAGATAATTCAATTTTTAATAAAAATTGGGCATTTGCAAGCGTCAGTATATTGTCAAAATTATTACTTAAATTTTGATCCCAGGCTTTATATTATATTTTATATTATCCTGGGCTAACTAAAAGTCAAATAAATACATCTACTATGAAACATTAAAAAAATAGCTTTTTTCTATACCCAAAGTTACAAAACTTCACATTAAAAAATCTCACTTTTTTTAAATGGAACACGCTGTATATTTTTCTGCCATCTTTTAGCTCCTCCAAAAACCTTCAACTTTTGATAATAATGATAGTTTTCGAAATATCCTGGTTTTTCTGGTTTTTTATATTCTAATCTTAAATAAGTTATATGTAATTTACATAATAGTGAGGTGGCCATGCAAAAAAAGGCAATTTTTATCTGCCTCGTTCAAAGCTAAAATCATATTTATTAATTCATTTTTCTAATAATTTATTTAAGTCTATAAAAACTGGGGGTACCAAGTGTCGGAGGAGGGTACTCACAAAGAGCGATTTGTACGTTTAGAAGAAAAATATCCATTAGTGATGTCAAATATATAAGAGCGAATATCTCGAACAGTGTCAGAAAAAGGTACTCATAAAGGGCAAGGCGAACGTCTGGCCGAGACACATCTACTAGTAATATTAAAACATTCAGTACCAATATCTGCAGAACGGAGTGTCGGAGGAGGGTACTTAATTAATTTTGAGAATTGCCAAACCACAATCTTCGACCCAGGACCCAAAGGGGGCTGAGCATTGAACCACTGACCAGGTGCACAGAATTACTAGAGCGGAAAGAAGCTATTGCCCGAAGCATTTGAAAAAGTATGGCGAACTTCAGAGAACCCTTTCAAGGGAATTCTGTGAGTTGGCGGAGTCGTACCTGATGATCAGGGTGAAACAAGGAGAAGAGTACTCTCAGTTCAAAAAGACGTCGGCTGAGGTATCCCTGAGCAGTGTAGTGAAACCCTTTATCTTCTGTACAGGGTGTCTGAAATTCGAGGGTGAGAATATGGATCTCGAAAACGGTAAGATTCACGAAATCGGTTAAAGGGAGGCAAAGTGGCGCACTTTTGGGCAGAATTTAACGTTTCTTAGAAAGTGAAAGAATTTTGAATACTTTGGGAGGATTTTTTATTTTACATTCTGAAAGTGCCTGTTCTCTTGAAAATATACATGAATCAGAATTTCTTAGTTACTAAACGGTGCCACACTAAAATTGACAATAAAGTAAAGTGAAATTAAAGCAGGGTTGTAGCTGGACAGTAAATTTTGAGAGGGCAAGAAATGTTCAGGAGGAGAGAAAAATATTCGTATTAATTACATAAACGCCCTCCACCCCCCACTCCCGGAGGAGAGAGGCGCCAACCCCTTTTTGACTTTAAAACCTTAATACAACATTTTAAGACATACGTTTGGTAATAGTAGCGGTAGAAATAGTGTCCATATTGGAGTATTAGTGAAAGTGATAGTTTATTTATTTCTTGTCCTTCTGTTGTTCTGGGCCCTCAACAGGCTTTCGCCCACTTACAGAGTGACCCGCATAATGGTCTTTATAGGTGCCCCTGCAGAAGGTCTTAAGTTGTTCTATACTACTTCGGTATTTACCTTACGGAAAACTCTCCAGGAGTCACTCCTTGGACCAACCCTGTGGGACATACAGAGTGAGTTTTTTTCATGTCCTCCCGACATACCATCTGTCGTGGTATTTTCGATTTTCTGCTCTCAGTAGCTGTACAGTTGTGGTCGTGTCCTGATTTTTTCAAAGCCGCAACGAATCCCACTGAGATTAATCTCATTTAAAAGTTGACCGCATTGAAACCTTTTCCCAGGTTGGCTCAGGAATGTGCCTCTTGAGTGCTGAGGCAATAGGTTGGAAAGTTTTTCCATCCAATACGGTTATTCTTTTCCATAACCAGATTTAGTATCATTACAACCATCACGACCAAGACTCCAGACCTGACAGTGCAAATGCTGCATTGTCCTCACATTTGCAATCGTCTGTCTGGGAGCTTCTAGGGTAGCAATTGAGTAATATAGTCAAATACCTATTAATATTTATTGTGCACCCCAATACATGAACATGAAAATTATTGTGATTAATAATAGTATAATAATATAATATATTTTTATTTATTTTATTTCCCAATATGATTAATATATAGAGGTTTAATTGGCTTCCATTTTCTCACTTTATTCTTCAGAATCGGTTTGAGTAAGGAATTCTTCAGAGTCATCTTCGACCTACGAGGAATATTTAAAAACGCTTATCTCATTTGTAGTCTGCTTTCTTACGTTGTCGTCGTTCAAATCCACTGCTGCATAGATAGGTTGGTTCATTGGAGACTGCGATAGTGATGTGCGATTCTCTTGCGATTCCCCATTTGACATCCAATTCGGAACGTAAGCCTAAAACAGTTTAGCATAAAATTAGTGTATTAGAGAAAAGCACAAAGAAACGTTAAGAAATAATGTATTGGCACGAGAAACGGAGGAGTGGTTTGATTATACACCATATGTCGAATATTCCTAATAGGTGTCTGATTTTTTTATTTTTTTATTGCCTTTATTTTATAGTGGGCGGAGTGTTAGCAATTTGCTACTCTTCCCACTCAACCCACTATACAATCACAAACAGCCATGCCTTACCTGGGATTTGAACCCAGGACCCTTGTAGCCAAAGTTTTATCAGTGTTAAGCCGTTGTAGTTCACTATAGTAATGCGGCACAAGTGTTTTATTCACTATTGCAAAACGAAAACAATCATTAATCACAAATAAATAATGTTATTGGGGAAATATAGACATTTAGAACTTTTATGGTAATGATAGCCTTCAAAACCGCGAAGCACTGCTGAAACCAGGGAAAGTAAAGAAGAAACTGTAGAATTTGAATTTCCTTTTCAGAAGACTGGTTTCCTGCAGGGAAATTTAATTCAAAGGGGGTTGTTGTACACAAAGGAAAATGCAATCGGAGTCTTTTGGTTAGATTATATTCCGTGGGATGCTGGAATGTTATGTGAGAGAATAGAAAGTCTAATTTCAAAATACATCTCGGTAATGACCTTAGGACTAGAACATATAATTAGTATAATTGTAGTCTAGCCAACTACAAATTAAGCGAACTCTCCAAATAGAAAATGAACCACCTTCAAAAAGTAGTAGATGTAAGTATTCGGATTCAAATTTCGTTTTGCCTTAAAAAAATATAGGTTGGTGGATGGCGCTATTATGGCCACTTCATTCGTCCGTCCGCCCAGTTTTTTTTCAAGGTATATAGTTCGATCTTTTGTATTCGGTGGCTTCAGTCATCTTTCTTATTTATGTAGAATTTTTTCGAAATTTTAACCACAGATGTACAAAGACAAGCATATCGCATATTGTAAAAATCAGTTGCGAGTAAACAACCTTTTTATCTCTAGAGATATTTTTTTAAATTTTTGCTAAAGATTCTTCTAGTAAAGACAAGCATATCTCAAATTGTAAAAATCAGATGTACGTATATGTAAACTGCGCAATGTCAACTTTCTTTTGTCGATACTTTTGAGATGTTAACCAAAGATTCTTCTAGTAAAGGCAATCATATAGCATATAACTTCAGGTGTTCGCATGGGCAGATTGCGTAATGCTGAGTTTCTTATTCATAAGAATAATTATGCCATAACTTATTTTCCTTTGTACACATGTTACATGAACTTTCGGGAAGTACTGACCAATTCCTGGAAAATGCCTTAACGCGAAAACCTTTTTTCATTTTTTGAACTAATCTGGACTATAGAATCTATTAATCCCAAATATGACACATTTTTATATAGACATTCTATTTAAAAATATCATTGTAACGGACCCACTAAAGTCGATTATTTCTGAACGGAAATAACTTTCTAGACAAAACTCAATTGCTTTTAAAGAAATCCATTTTTTTGTGGGTTGATAATCAAACAAAAAAAATACATGCAAGACAAAACGGCTTAAATTGCCTACAGAATGAGCTCTTTACGAGTTGAAGAATGTCCATAAACCTAGCGGAGCAAGGTCAGCAGAACACAATCAAACATATTGCATAATTAGGTGCTAATTAAGTGCCCTATTCCAGAATTAAATGCTCCTTCTTTTCTTAATTATTACATGTTTTGCTAGATTCATATGAACTCAGGAGAACACTACCTCAAAAAGCCAAGAAAATGAAAAGTGAAGTAACTATAATTAGGTGCTAATTAAGTGCCCTATCCTCGAATGAAATGCTCCTTTTTCTTTAAGTTATTACATGTCCTGCCAGGTTCATATGAACTCAGGAGAACACTATCTTTAAAACTCAAGAAAATGAAAAGTGAACTAACTATAATTAGGTGCTAATTAAATTATTACATGTTCTTCTAGGTTCATAATTAAAAAAAAAGGAGCATTTAATTCGGGAATAGGACATTTAATTAGCACCTAATTATAGTTAGTTCACTTTTCATTTTCTTGGGTTTTTAAGGTAGTGCTCTGCTGAGTTCATATGAACCTGGCAGAACATGTCATAATTTAAAAAAAAGGAGCATTAAATTCGGGAATAGGGCACTTAATTAGAACCTAATTAGCACCTAATTATAGTTAGTTCACTTTTCATTTTCTTGGGTTTTTGAGGTAGTGCTCTGCTGAGTTCATATGAACCTGCCAGAACGTAATAATTTAAAAAAAGGAGCATTTAATTCGGGGATAGGGCACTTAATTAGCACCGAATTAGCACCTAATTATAGTTAGTTCACTTTTCATTTTCTTGGTTTTTTGAGGTAGTGCTCTGCTGAGTTCATATGAACCTGCCAGAACGTAATAATTTAAAAAAGATTGCGCATTTAATTCGAGAGTAGGGCACTTAATTAGCACCTAATTAGCACCTAATTATGCAATATGTTTGATTGTGTTCTGCTTACCTTGCTCTGCTAGGTTAATGGACATAGTTGAAGAATAACATGATTTTTTAATTAACTTTTCAACATCAATCAAGTTTAAAATTATGATGATTTTTTCTCTTAAATATTCAAACCTTGAATTTTACATAAATAAAAGAGGTGTGGTATGTTATATTTTCCGTTGTCTTTTCTTGTGTATTTTAAAAGTTACGAGCAAACCACCATTTCATCAATACAACTGTTTGGGATTAACGAGTTTGACCAACAAATTGGAAAACAATTGAATTGTGTAAAAATTTGCACTTTCAAGTTTCTTATTGATTTTTTCTAATCAGTAAACATTTACACAGCAGTTTTAACAATGGTTGTAGAGGGGATCAACATAAAATTTTTCGAAAAAAACCGAGAGTCCGTGTTTTGTTTGAGAGCCACCTTCAAGAAAGTGGTAAAATTGGCATTTCATCTGGTGACACAGACTGGCACGTCTTTGAATAGGTTTTGGGGTATTCCCCTTCCCATTTTTTTCAAAATTCCGACCATGAAAGAGCGCACACCTAAATGGAGGTGCGAACAAAAATTATGATTTCAACGAAATTTGGTATCTCGAGGTTTTTGAACATGAAATTCTTGTATCTGGAAATTCAAAAAAAAATTCTACTGCAATTCTAGATCGGACAACAAAAATGAAGAGAATTCCACGCAATTTGTTGCGTACATATGATGAGGAACAAAATTGTGGAACAGTTTTTTTAATCACTTTTCAAACAAAAGTTTCATGGTGGGAATTTTGAAAAGGACATATCCCAAAACCTATTCAAAGACATGCCGGCAGTCTTTCTAACTTGTATGGTTGCCGAGACAAAAATTGCAGAAAAAATGCAAATTTTTACACGTTTTTGAGGGTGGCTTCCAAATGAAATTTATTTAGGTGCGCTTTTTTAACGATAGCTACCGGAACTCAAGTTCTTCTATTTTACGTTCCAAATATAAGTACTGGTCGTGGCGGTTTTCAAAAAATCGAATCTGATTCAAACATTATTATGGATTCCGCACTACCAACAACGGCTTTCCGCGAATCTTTTCCAAATTCCACCTCGGTACTATTTATTGGCTCTCTTGCGATCAAGACGCGATTTAATTAATAACTCCCATTTTCAGAGTAATGTTAATGGCCAAAAACCCGAATGAATCCCAAAATTTCCCCCAAAGCTAATTCCCACTATTATTTTTACTAAGTACTGCCCCTTTTAATTGCGCCAATATTGGAATCGATATATTCACGGAAGCGTCAGCTGTCTTCGTTTTTTACGATCTAAGCTTGACCTCGTGCTGACTACGCACTTGTAACCAACTGCCCCTAATGGAAAATCAACTCTCTAAAATTCGATATCCTGTAAAATTCTGTGATCCGCAATTCCCAAATTGCTCTATTCTTAAAGTCCCAAAATGTCTAACTTCACACGAAATTTTGAAAAAATTTAAATGCCAATTTAGAGCTACCGTTACAAGAGAATCTTCCGAGGGCGAATCTTTCCGGAGCAAATCTTCTGTGGGCGAGTATCCCGAGGGTTTACCATGACGACTTTTTTGGGGCGAATTTACCGTACCCGAAACGAAATTTGTCTGATGTGATTTTTATGGGGTATGCAGCAAATGATCAAAAACTCTTAAAAATTAGCAAACAGAAAGGAAGATGAGACGTTTTTTCACAAAAAATAATGTAATGTAACTTGGAGAGGGGGATATCAACTCTATATTCCAAACTTGCACATGTATGTAGTATGTGCACCCACCTGAGTGTTTTGGTTAACGTTTTCATCAATGGTCCAAGTAGTTGGATCTGGGATTTGATTAAAGGCCATGTCACTTCTCAGAAATCCAGCTTCTGGAACATTTGACGCTCCACCTTCTTGTAGAAGATTTGCCCCGTTTGCAATCTGTAAATATTTACCCCATAATCATGTGAGCTTCTATGTATGCAAAATTTACTTACTCTTATGTTAGGGTGGCTGTCAGCAAAAGGCACCTCAGGATTCAAAGACGCAGTAGGTTGCTCTGGAGTATGACTAAAGTATCTGCCATTTCCCTGCACAACGTTTGTCACATTTTCGATCTGGAAATACAATCATGACGAAGATATTGGAGGGCATAAGAAAAATATACTTACTCTAATGTTATAAGACCCATCGGCAAGGGGCAAGTGTAGGTTTTCAGTTTGATTAAAGTTCATATTGGTGCCAAAAAATCCGGCTTCTTCAGAGGTTGACATGCCACCTCCAAGTGCGTTTGACACCTGTGAATAGTTACATCATAATTGTAAAAACCAAACAAATATTTACGTTTATATCATAAGGCCAATCAGTAAAAGCCGCCCGTGAAGTGGGAGCCGAAGTAGGCAGTCCTGAAGTATAGTTATTGCTAAGAAGCTGCGCTTCCTGAACGCCTGTTCCATCTGCCTGTCGAACGTTGGTCAGGTTGGCGACCTGCAAATAATTACATCACAATGATGTGAACTTCCATGGAATTAGGTGAAAGAAAATCTATTTACGTTTATATTATAGCGCCTGTCAGCAAAAGCTACCTGTGGGAAGCCAGTGGGGAGTTCCGCGGTTCCATTAAATCCCATGTTACTGCTAAGAAGTCTGGCCCCGTGAACGATTGGCACAGTATCTCCCTGTAGGGTGTAGAATATAGTTTATGGAGTACCGGGAGATCTTATTTACCTGAATAGCATAGGGACTAGCCTCAAAAGGTACGTGTGGGTCAATAAAAGCTACAACAGGCAGATCTGCCGTTTGATTAAAGTCCATACCATTGTTAAGAAGTCCCGCTCCTTGAATGAGCACACCGTTCCGTGGCATGTGTGGCATATTTGTAATCTGTAAATGGTAACATCACAATCAATAATAAACTTATACTGAATGTATTTTTAAAACGTCACAGCTACTAAATTATTAACGTTCAGTCAGTATCCAACCGTATCAAGGATGGCAAAAAATTGTGCAGAACCGCAATTAACCGTAACAGTGAAAATTGTAGTTTTGGTTACACAATAGCGCATAAATAAATTTTACCACGAGCACGTTGGGGGTCTAGGGAGCGAACGTTCATTGCGTTTCTAATTTAAACGGCAAGTGGTAAAAAGTTTAAAGACGATTAATTAGTGCTTTTTTTAAAATCGTAAGTATACCAAGCGAACAATGACATTTTCATAATGGTAAATTATTCCAATGAATAAACTATTAAATTTACTTTCCACCAACCCGAGACTTTCGAAACCGTCCCGCGAATCGCTGCTACCGCCGCCTTGGACCAGGGGCAAGGCCGTACCCTTGGTGGCGTGCGAGTCTGTTCGCACGTCCGTCCGTTCCGTCATCACATCCAGGTAGCCGCCGACTGCCGCTACTTTTGTCCGCTCACATGAGTTAATTACTGTAATTTGTTTTATCAAAATTGCTTTAACACATGCTTCCTCCGCGCCTCTTTCCTCTAGATTTTCTTCATCCTACCATCTTATTTCAAGGTTCTTCCATTATTTGCACTTTTTCCTATCTGCTTCAGACGTCTTCCTTCACATACCGGTTCCTCACGCCGCCGCTTTCGCGATTATTTTGTACCACACCCATTCCCACCGTATTAAAATATACTTTCACTTCTTTAACGTACTCTATCGTTATACACATTCTTCTTGCACGCTTCGGTCTCGTCTTCTGCAATTACTTTTTGTTTCATTAGTTTTTCCGCCACTATGTTCTCACGCCCTTCATAATTTGTTTACGCTTATTTTCTTAAGGCCTCCCTTGAGCGCAATTCGCACAAAGAAGCACATAAAACAAAAGTTGCAAAAACATTACACCCGAGCGGTTTCATTACTGCATTTTATACTGTATTCGTTTTCTGGTCGCTCACCAGCCGGTCAAAAGCTCACCCTGTGAAAAATTCGCAAGCCGCGTCAATGTTTGTTCGCCATACGGGGGAAAATCAAAAACTGTCAATTTCAGAATGACTTCACGAGAGGTACAGACAAATGTTTCATACAAAAACTCATTTATCTGTTTTTTTCAAAATAAGTATAGGGAGTCTGGTAAATAAATTACCGGACCTAACCTAATTTGTTCATACGGAACGCCCTGTATATTTTAATCTAAAGAAAGCATATTAAACTCTCTTTTCGAAAATATAACACCCCATAGTTGATATTCAAAAAAGATTCAACTGATTAAAAAAAATTCAAAAAAGATTCAGAAAGATTTTAAAAAAATTAAAAATGCTAAAAAAATTTTTGAATCAATATTGAACATTTTTTAGTAGTCGATTGTTGAAAAGAGATTTTAATATGACATTTTTTTAGATTAAATTATACAGGGTGTTTCATTTAAAAAATGAGGTTAGGTGCAATAACTTTTTTACCTGACTCCGTACACTTATTTTGAAACAATTATTATAAACAAACTTTTGTAATAAACATTTTTCTGTATTTCTTCAACTAATATCATTCTGAAATTGACAATTTTTTTATTTTCCGCCGTATTTCTTATGGGAGATCAAATTTTGGTTTTACCATTTAACGTAAGAGCACATAACGCCTATATTACTATTTTAAAATAATAATAATAATAAATCGTCTTTTTTGAACATGTTCTCTGGCGAAATCTAGCTCAAGGCTATTCTATTTATATGTAGCACTAACAATTACGGGGTGTGCAAAATGGGACACCCTGTACGTTCAATTTTAAAGATCAGATGTCGTTAGTGGAGCTATTTATAATTTTAATCTAATCATTTTCAATTTTTGTCGACGAGAAGTGTTCTGTGACAGTATTGCAATGGAAAACGGTTACTAAACCACCTATATAAACACCGTTCTAGTTAGCTCAATTAAACTCTGGTACTAACAAACCCTTTTAGACAAACAGTTTGATTATATAATGTTCCAAGGCAAGTCCGGCATCCACTAATACGAAAAATCTCGATAAGACCTTAATTTAGTTAAAACGAGAAACTCAGCAGTCCAAAGGACTATCTAACAAATATGTAATTAACTCCTGACGTAATCGTGGGAATATAAAATTTTATCTTGAGAACTATGGGTCGTCATTTAGGGCTCGATTGAACAAAAAGCTAATTATTTACAAATGAAACAAAATTATTTGATAAAATCATTCAATAAAGCTGTAAGAAATAGTAACACTCAAGGCCACCAGACAAGTACAACGAAACAAGAGATCGATTGAAACAAATTAAATTTAAATAAAGTTGTAATTACTTTAAAGGTAATAATACTTAAAATGCAGTCAACTGCAATTCTCTTTAAACAACACGCAACAGGTGATATTGCTTCTCTTTTGCATTATTCTTGATTTCAACGACGCTGACTGACCAAACTTCTTATTGCAATGAACGGAGATAAACTTTTACAGTAATACAACGCAATTACTTCCAAATGCCACATAACTATTAACACGTAATTTCACTGAACAATAAAATAACCAAAGGTGATTATTAAAACAAAATTAAATATCTAATAATTCTTAAACAAAACTTCGACTTCGAACGCAAATAAATTGATCGAAAATAACCCCCACATTTAACCTAAAAAAATTTAAGTTCGTCTAGTACAAGGTGACCCATCGTTATGATAGGTGCTGATTCAATAAAATCATCCGCATGACGTAGTTTACACAACAGGTGTAATCGAAAAACAGTTTTTAAGAAACACATTTTTGCATGTTTTTTGGAGATGCACGTGTATATTGCTGGGTAAATGTCCCATGGCCCAACCGGAGTCAATCGTGGTCAGTCTTGGGGTAACAAACCTGAGTTTACGGTTTCAAAAGGGGGCGGATTAGAGATGAGGTGCATTAAAGCAGTCCAGAATATTAGCGAATGGTGCCTTAAGGCTTCACAGTGTGAATTTTGGAAATGGCTTTGAGTACAATATACCAAAGACTGATTGCTGAAGATTTCAACCTGGACGTTAAATGATTTTGTCAATTTTTCTCTAAAAATTGAATGTAGAAAGTACGATAAATTTGGGCATATTGGGAAAGCGTCTAAAAATTTTTCAAAAACCAAGGCCAATAACGAATGCATCAGAGCTAAAGCATTAGCGTAAATGAATTGTTGATAAGAGTTCCTAACAGTTTTATGCAGATAAATAGTTTTGTTTATGGGTAATCATTTTTCGCTTATCATCGGCTCAATTGTCCAGTTGTGAAAGTGTGAGTTGACATTACGCATAATTTATTGTAAAATTTGGTTCATGAAAACTAAAATCCTACCATTAGAAGATTATTGAGCTGCTCGTTGTTAAATTCGGAAGTGTTGGCCCATGGATCCCAACCTCCGTTGTTACTGAGGGTCGGATTAGATGGTCCTATCGCAAGATTCCTTGCATCAACTTGAATCCTAGCAGGGCCAGGTGGATACAAACAGCGTGGACGTCGCCATAGATTATCGGTTAGATACGCATTGACAACCTAAAGAATGCGATTTAGCGTCCCTTCACTATATTGGAAGGGGGAGGGCAACAAAAACTTGCCCTCACACCCCAGACAGAAAATAAGATACACACTATGGTAGAATATTTCACTCACTGGGGGTTCCGGTCTTCTTTCCGGAAAGACATTTTCGGGTCTCGCCCAAGTAATCTCTTCTCTAGCAGTATTTGGGCCGCAGTAGAATTCATATTGTTGCACCACCATCCCGTTCGGTGGTTGTCGATGGCGCCCTCTCATGTTCCTTTGCATCTTTCCAAAATAATCCCTTAAATACACCCTTAAGTGCACTGGTAACACAATCTTAGAATTCACACTTCAGACAATGGCGCACTATAAAGAGTTGCTAAGAAGACTGAATGATTCAGGAATCATCTACCTACTGGTCTACGTTATCGTTACGTATATATTTTTACACATAGATAAATGCACAATTCATTCGCCGAAGCTCTTTGTACATAATAATCGCATAAACATAACACTTCCAGTAAACAAAGGTGATTGCAAATGATTAGTAATGTTACACCGGTATGTATGAAGCTATAGTCATTTCTTTCGCACATATTATAATGACAATTCAACAAACGTAAAGTGCAATAATAGATCAATCAACTTAGTCCGAAGTACTAATCGATAGATAGATATGCGAAATTGAATATACAAATGATAACAAAACACCAGTGAATAACGAACATAAACAAATGCAGGTATTTGTTAATAGATGACCCTAAGAATTAGTTTACGTTACAAATACCACGTATTCGTCGTATATTTGTCACCGGAAGTCTCCCCCAAGAACTCACCCCCCTTTAGCAGCTTGGATTCGCATAATAAATTTCGCGTTCAAGATAACTCACCCTGAGATAATTTCGCCTGCATGAAAATTCGCTCTTTCCCCCATTCCCGTTGGAGAACTACCAACCCAGATAAAAATTCGCGTTTAGTCGATCCCATTGAGGGTCCAACTCACCTCTGAAGGTTGCTCTTCGGAAGATTCGCTCGCAGAAAGACTCCCTTTGGTCTTTACCCTCGAAATACGCGTTCCCAAAATTAAGTTCGCTTCCGCATTGTTGGCCCTCGGCAAGAGGTAACTGGAAATTTCGCCACCACTCCCGAAATATACTTTTCCGGAAATCCCAGAATCCCTTCGAATATTCACTCTCAAAAGAAAAGAAGAAAGCCAAAAGGAAATTTGTTTCAGTTGAAATATTTATAATTCGGAACACCGGGAAAATTACGTTGAAGAGAAATGGGGCTGAAAGGTATTTGGTCTTAAGAAATTGCTCTTTTGACTTTAACGTCGATAATAACTGGTTATTAATGCAAATTTAAAAAGTACTGCATTGTATTCTCACCCGTAGATAACGCTTGATTGATTGCGGCAGCGTGATCGCTTGGGGAAAATCCATTTCCGGAAATCGAAAAACTGGCACTGAAATATTTGCTCAGCAATACCTATCACCCCGCCCCTTCTGGAGGCGCTATAGTCACTATTTGATTTGCCTTCAGGTTATTCATCCCTCTTCGGCTAATTTTCCGCCGGAAACGTTACAGAAAGCTAGAGAATGACGCCCAAGGAGTTGATGCATTCTTTGTACGGTGTGTTTTTTAAACGGAACACCCTATATATTTTATTCTAGAGCCATATTAAACTTTCTTTTGGAAAATATCACAATTCATAGATGATATTAAAAAAAGATTCAAGTGAGTCAAAAAAATTCAAAGTCAAAAAAGATTTACAACAATTAAAAATACATAAGAAATTTTTGAATTTTTTTGAACCATTATTGAATCGTTTTGACATTTTTTGAAAAGAGATTTTAATATGTTATATTTTTAGACTAAATTATACAAGGTGTTTCATTAAAAAAATGAGGTTAAGTGGAGCCGTTTATAATTTAAAATTTATTGTATCATTTTGAATTTTTGGCGAACCACCTTAGCTAGCTCAATTAAACTCAGACACTAATAAAACCTTTTATATAAAAATTTTGATTATAACATTTTTCAAGGAACGTCCGGCATCCGCTACTACGAAAAATCTCGACTCTAATTTGGTTAAAACAAGAAACTCAGCAGCCATAATCTCCTCCAGACGATTCCAAAGAACTATCTAAAAAAATTTTAATTACCACCCGACATAATCGAGGGATTAATAACAAAAATTATCTTGAGAGCCCTTATATCCAGGGTGGTATTCGGGCTCGATTAAACAAAAAGCTAATCATTTACAATTGAAACAAATTTATTCGACAAAATCAATCAATGAAATTGTAATAAAGACAACACTCAGGGCCAGAGGACAAATACCACGCAACAAGGGATCGATTAAAACAAATTTAATTTAAATAAAGTTTTAATTACCATAAAGGTAATAACATCCCGTCCCCTCAATTGCAATTGCAACACAAAACATCAAGAGATATTGCTTCTTACTTTTGCTTTGAAAGCTTCCTGCTCTCCCATCACCGTTGGAATTTTGGCACCCCAGAAAAAGTTCTCGTTTAGTCCATCCTATTGCGGGTCTAATTTATCTGAGACGATTTTTTTACGGGCAAATAACTCACCTCCGAAAATTGCTGGTCGGAAAATTCGCTCGCAAAAATACTCCCTATTTGATTTGCCTTTAGGTTATTCATTCCTCTTCAAATAATTTTCCGCCGGAAAATTTCATACCCACTCAAAAATCACGTCACAGAAAGCTAGACAATGACGTCCAAGGAGTTGATGCATTCCTTGTACTGTGTGTTTTTCAACACCCTATATATTTTATTCTAAAGATACCATATTAAATTTTCTTTTCGAAAATATAACACTCCATAGATGATATTCAAACAAATTCAAAAAGTGTTCTGAAAAATTAAGAAAAGCTTTACAAAAACTAAAAATACATAAGAAATTTTTGAACTTTTTTGAGTCAATATTGAATTGTTTTGACATCTTATATTTTTTAAAAGAGATTTTAATGCGTTATTATTTTAGATTAAATTATACAAGGTGTTTCATTAAAAAAAATGAGGTTAGGTCCAATAACTTTTTTACCTGACCCCATACACTTGTTTTGAAATAATTATTACAAAAAAAACTTTTGCAACAAACAATTTTCTGTACCTATCTAACTCATTCAGAAATTGAAAATTTTTTAATTTTTTTCGGTATCTACTTATGCAAGCTAATATATTTTCAAATTTTGATTTTACCATTTTAAGTTTGTATCCAATAAGAGCACATAACGCCTATATTAAATTTTTATAGCACTAAACATTACGGAGTGTCGAAAATGGGACACCCTGTACGTTCAATTTTAAAGATAAAAAATGCACTAATAAATCCTTTTAGGCAAAAATTTTGATTATAACATTTTTCAAGGAATGTCCGGCATCTGCTACTACGAAAAATCTCGATAAGACCTTAGTTCGGTTAAAACGAGAAACTCAGCAGCCTTAATTTTTAGTTAACAGCTGACATAATCGTGGGATTAATAACAAATATTATCTTGAGAGCGCTTATATCCTGGGTGGTATTCGGGCTCGATTAAACAAAAAGCTAATCATTTACAAATGAAACAAATTTATTCGACGAATTCAACCAATAACAACACTCAGAGCCAGAGGACAAATACCAGGCAACAAGGGATCGACTGAAACAAATTTAATTTAAATAAAGTTTTAGTTACCTTAGAGGTAATATAATAACATCCGGTCAATTGCGTTTGCAACAAAAAACATCAGGAGATATCGCTTCTTACTTTTGCTCTTGATTTCAACGACACTGACTTTAAAGTTATTTCAGACATAATAGTGGCTCCTTTATAAGAAAATTCTCCCCCTGAATTTGCATCATAAAGACTTGCCGAAAATTTAGAGCTCAAAATTAAGAAAACTCACCCTTGAGCTTTACATGTCTCTCAAAGCATGGTAGTCAGCAGATGTTCTGAACCACTAAAAACTGGCAAGTTGTAGGATTCGAACTCACAATCGGTGAGGAGCGTGAGTGAACATGTTGGCCTCCTGCAATCTCGCGTCCAAGATAACTCACCCTGACATAAACTCGCCTCCGTCATTGGCCCATGAAAATTCACTCTCCGTAGGAATACTAGCAACCCAGAAAACGATTCTCGTTTAGTCGATCCTATCGAGGGTATAATTTATCTGAGACGATTTTTTTACGGGTAAAACTCACCTCCGAAATCCACTTTAGGTTATCCATTCCTCTTGGGATAATTTTCCGCCGGAAATTTTCATACCCAGCCAAAAATCACGTTACACATTTCCTAGAGGGTGATTTTTTAGTATTTCTCCTCGCGAAATTTTCGCCCCCTGGAAATTTCGATCCGAAAAAAATTTACCTTCCCGAAAAATTAGTCGGAATATTCGCTACTCCAAAAATAATGGAAGTACTGCTTCAGGAAAACTCGTTCGTTTTACTTTCCTGTATGAAATTCCACCTGAAAACAAAATAGCGTACCCAAGTAGGTCCCTGTACAAAGTTTGGCGATTCTAGAAATAGGCAATGAAGGTTATACAGCTAGAGCAAGCCAGAGTCGAACTAAGGTATGCGTTACAACGAGAACATAGACTTCGTGATATTCATTTTCTTTACTCTAGGGCCACACTTTATTATTATTTACCTTGCTTCCTTCTCATTAGCTTTACTTTCAGATACCCACTTACATGGAAATGCTGCTTTAGCCGATGGCAAACCTATTATTGGTCTTGTTTTATTTTTAATCAAAGAGTGATATCCTCCTCCATGGCTTTCTTCCACTGCGCAGCGTGGAATAACTTCAAAAGTTTGAGGATCAAAGTATCCGACAAAAGTAGCTCTCATCCTTTTCTGCACACCGGATAGCTTTGCGCTGATGTCACGTACTGGATTCAATAGGTCAGCTGATTTCTTTGGTATGTAGGTGTAACGCAATTGTACTTCACCACCTCCTTTTTATACATCTTAATTAAATTGGGGCGGTTCTTCTCTCAAAATTTTATATTTAGTATGCCTCGGCTGCTCGTCGGCTAATAATCCCCTTCTGGCAACTTAAAGAAATGGTAAAGGGGTAATAATGACTCAATAATCTTTATTAAATTGTGAAACGATTACTATTTTCTTGAAAGTACCTCGGACCCCCGCTCCAATAGAACATATTAGTAAGTGGGGGTTTAAGGCGAAACAATCCTGTAAAGTAACCACTCGATGTTCGTTGTACCTATTCGTTAGGTTTTTGTCATTTAACATCGGTATAAATACTCGCTCTCATTTTGAATATACACACGTAAAGCAGTATTTATGATCTTATTCTACTTACATCTGAATTAAAATTACA